TTAAATATCGCATCCGATTTATCGTGCAGCCCTACATAAAACCATGTCTGCATTTGTGATCGGAGAAACGACAAGCAACAAGCGCTACTCTACTGCTCAAAACTCGCGTTTGAATCGTCAGTGGCAAATCCTTTAAATATGAAAACGTACTTACAGGCTGCGAGTAGGCATTATTTGTCAGCATCATAGACCGTATAGGGTCAGCATGCACACCGAAGGGGAAACAGGGGAACTGAATTCACCAGAACACCGCATTGTAGGCTATTCTCCCAGGAAACAGTCCTCGTCCTCCGTAAAATGCGTTGCACACATCAGAATATTTGGTTTGAACTGTTCTGGAACATTGTTGTAAATACAACTTAACCACTGATTTCTAGTTGTGTCCTCTTTTGGAAGGCCAAACAAAATAGTTTTCCGCTTTCACAACGAAACACACAGCGTCTCCACGACATGGCGGCGGTGGCAACAATACTACAGCGAGAATCAGTTACGCCTTCTTTCTTTGCTTGAACATTTGAGCGGCGTTATGCAAGTCTTCCCACACAGTGACGTAGACATGTGGGGGCGTGTTTAAACAAGGCGTTTTAGGAGGGCGTGGACTAGTCTTAACTTTTATAAAGAATATCTCTTTGGGTTTGAGACTTTAGTCTTTTGCAACTTTAGGGATCTTATCTATTCACAAACAGCTTGTAACACTCTAGGAAAACTTGAAATCGCATCATATGACCCCTTTAAACTTGTTGGAAAATAATCATTTCTGTCACTGCTGTGAACTGACAACCACACAGAGTCAGCTGTCCATGGCAGTCCTGCAACGCAACACACTCAGCAAAATATCGTCTGATTATCGTTATCGATAAAATCCCAGAAAATATCGAGATAATTTTGTTAATATCGCACACCCCTAGGCTAGATATTTAATTCTTCTTTGCTTGGTTATTGTTTGGTACACCTAATTCACTGATCATCGTAAAATAAGCTTTTATCTTAGAATTAGGTTTTCTCAATGAAAATGAGGACAAGACAAAAAAATATGACTCATATTTATTTAAAGTTGCATTTTTTTATTTAATTTTTTTTGAAAGTGGTGTGGGGGGTGGGGGAGTCTGGTTAGGGGGACCCCCCCCCCCCCCCAAGAGCTTTGACACAGTTCGAACACTGCTCGAGACACTCACGATTCAGAATTTCCCTGCCAATCTGATGGCTATACTGTGATGACATGTGGCAAGTAAAGAGCAGGCATGTCTGTTTGACCCCTGCGTCCTGCGTTGCTATAAAGAGCAGAGGAATGAAAGCTGTGACTGTGTTGCTGGGGGACTGATGGAAGCATAAACCTTTAAACGAAACCATTCTACTTTCCGTCCTCCAGCCTCCTCCCGCAGAGAGTTAGGTGTGAGCTATTTTACCCTGCTGATTGATGCATGCTGAAGGTATTTTAAGATACTAAAGTGCTTTATGATATGACAGCTGGAATTCATGTATATGCTGCATCTTCCTTTCCAATGTGTTCTTTCTTGATCTTGAACGTTCCATTAGTAGTTCAGTATTGAGCTGAATATGTGGTGAGTTCTTGTGTGGGTGTTGTGTAGGGCCCTTTTGCTGGGTTTTTTCTGGGCTCTCCATGCTCTTCAAGGGCCGATGAGGAGGCTGTGCAGTACAGTGGGAGGATAGATAACTCCAACAACTCAGGGGTTTGGAGGTCACTCTTCTACCTGGAGGCCAGATACGCCTGAAATAGCTCATTGCTGGTGCATTTTGTATATGCACACTGATAAATGCTGATATGTTCTGGAAAGCGTTGACGCACTTGTGAATTGCGCCGTCGGGCCTCGCTTAAGTCCTGAATCAGCTCTCAGCTAGAGCGAAATTTAATAGACACGTCATTCTCACCTTGTGGTACAGGTCTGCGTTAGTCAGCAGCACAATTAAGCATCTCATTGAAACGTGTCCATGTAATTTGAAGTATGGAACTTTAATTAAAAAAAGAAAAAGTCTTAAGCTCCTCTCGATCTAATCCACGGTTTCATTCAGGGGTGTACATTGTGAAGCATTCAAAACTGGATCGAGAAGCCTTTTATGTTTTGTTTTAATTCCTGAATTTGAATTGAATTTGAGATGAGGTAGTAAACAAGATGCAGATGATTCCAATTTGAAAAGTAGAATTAAAATGAAATGAGATTAATTTAAGGGACTTTTTTTAACTAGAAAAGCCAAGTTTGTCAAGGAAAACTTGATTTTATAAGTGCTAATTTGAAAATTTTGAAAGGTTAAAAGCGGTTTATAAAAAAATACATTTAAAAATAGTTTGCAAGTCGTGGATGGAGGGTTGTAATGCAACTTTACTTATTTAAATAAATATTTAAATAATTACATATATACAATATATGTATTTATGTAATTTGTGCATATGTTCATTGTATATTTATTTAGTTGTATAAAAATTAATAAATAAATTACAAAAAATAGTTAAACAAAATAAATGTATTTATGTAACTTATTTGTGTATATGTAATTTAAATAATTACATAAAAAAAATAAATACATAAACACAAATAAATGATGAATGATACACTTTTATTTTATGTAATTAAACATTTAAATTACATAAATACATTTATTTTGTGTAACTTTTGTCTTTTATTTGTTTATTTATTTTTATATTTAAATATTGCATGAATGAATATACATGTATTTCTTTATTTCTTATTGTTTGTTTGTTTGTTTATTTATTTTTTAATAGTTATATTATTTCTATTTATTATGTAATACATATTTAAATAATTACATAATTTACATAAATGCATGTTTTTTGTTGTAATTTATGTAATTATGTATTTATTTACTCATTCATATTCAATAAATTATCTTCTGTGTTGAAATTTCTTGGAATTGCAATTCACTAAATTCCTCTTCCTGATTCAAATTTAATATTTTTTTGCGGTGTGGCTAAATTCACACTCATAAATTGAAAAGCAGACAATTCTTCAATTCTGACTTTTGCCCAACCCTGTTTGCATTAACACCCATTTATGAACAGTTATCTATAGCATTATCTACACTTCTCCTCCTCCAAATTATGGTTTGTCCATAAGACAACCTTTTATCAGTGTCCATTCCTACAAGAGAGTCTTGTTCGTTTTCTTGTTGCCAGCGAACAGTGCTGGGTGACCTTCTGGGAACTGGACTACATTGTGTACATTCGTTCCCAATTTAGGTGGCTAAAAGTTGCAATTGAGCTCCATTAAGTCTTTCTGAGAAAAGCCGTCACTGTCTCGTGTGTGTGTGACCTTGTCGCCGTAGCTCCTCACAGATCGTGGCGAAAGCACAGCTTGTTAATCCACAGTGCAGAGATTCTGTTGCACGCACATGTGGTGATCGGTGCCAAGGCCAAGCAGCATCCATTGTTATCATGCCCTGCTATTTCTCATGCTGCCACACTCCACATGATGGCCGAGCAGATTCCCCGGACTTTCACTGATGGATATGTTAATGTTTAACATGGACAGATCAGCAAATAGACACTTTATCCTGCTAAGTGTGACCTAAGAAAGATTCTCAAATGTGCTCCTTAGAGGTGCTCTTGAATGCCATTGTTATAAGTTATGAGTGTAACGCCTCCCAGTTGATTGACAGCTTGGGGGTGTTAACCTTCGTCACTCTTCCTGTCGAGCGCGGGGCAGCTGCTGTCATGCCTCTGTTTAAACCTGATCAGGACATCGCCGAACATATCAAAATAGTTTCTCCATTTTTGGCGTGGTGCATTGTTGCTCCCCATGCTATTTTCTTCTCTCGCCCTCAAGGGTCCAGATGAGCTTACATGACTACTTTGTTCTCGATAGGTGAACACGCTCTCTTTTTCTCTCGCTGGTTCTCTTTTAAAGTCCTTTAAGTCATTTTTATGACTGTGCAAAAGAGACTAGTGGATTTGATTAATTAAAGATCATAATTTGATTTGGGTTTGCCATGGTTCATCTTGCCTAGCATATTCATCAGTCAGAAAAAGATTTCAGAAGACATTTATGCTTTCTGATGGCTGTGTTCTCTGCAATATGTGTGGATAACACATGCAGCATTACATGCTGTATTAAAATATTCAAGCCAAAAAAAGTAACAAAACAAACTACAATACACAGTTTTGAGGTATAGTATGATCATAGAAGATACATTTTTGATTTGTAAACGATATATTATTTCTGCACTGACATTGCAAGTTTGATGTTGCATTGTGGAACTCGAGTACCTTCGTAACGGATAAACCAGACTGATTTGCAAAGAGGTTTGTTTTTAACCTATATGTTTATGTAAAAGGGATAGATCACCCAAAATTGAAAATTTATAGTTTACTCACCCTCGTGTCAGTCAAAACTTGTATGACTTAGTTTTTTTGCTAAATATAAATGAAAATAATTTGAAGAATACTTAAATTGTTTTTGTTCATATAATTGCAGTGATTGTGGTTCAAAACAACATTGGACCTCATTAATTTGCATAGTTTTGTGTAAAGAGTATTTTAATTTATTATTTTTATTTTATTTTTTCTGTGCATTTATTAGCCATTTTAACTGTGCTATGAAGCTGAGTATTTATTGGCAACAGGTTTAAAAATGTATCATGTGTAAATAAACAACTTTGCTCTGAAATGTGCTGCACATATACATATTTAATTAAATCAAAACCTTATTTAATTTGGTAAAAGCGATATCACAATATCAATTTTATTTAGATTAAACGTTAAGTCCTTTTATTAAAGCTCAATGTGGATGGAAAAATTGCTTGTCACTGGAAACTTTTTAATTGTTTTTGGTGTTCATTATTGGCGGTCATTATTGTTCGAAACATCATTGGACCCCACTAATTTGCATATAGTTTTGTGTAAGGAGTATTTTGTGTTGCATTGCAATTTTTGTTTGTGCATTTATTTGCAATTTTGACTGTTATGAAGCTGAGGATTTGACTTATTTGTTCTGAGTACCTTGTTTTTTTTCTTCTCCTCCTCCTAGTGGGCGACAAGGTACCTGCCGATATACGTATCTGTGCCATTAAGTCCACCACGCTCAGAGTGGACCAGTCTATTCTGACAGGTAACAAAGCATTTGGTTCATTTGTATGCGTTTAAGTGTCAAGTATCTTAGCTGTGTTTTACTATTAATTCGGTCATGTTGCAGGCGAGTCTGTCTCTGTCATTAAGCACACCGACCCCGTGCCAGATCCCCGTGCCGTCAATCAGGACAAGAAGAACATGTTATTCTCCGTAAGAAAATTAGACTTCAGCTGAACTTTAATTCACAAAGCTTTTTGGTACAAAATACATTTTTCCTGTACATTTAAATGCGTGCATTTCAGGGAACCAACATTGCTGCGGGAAAAGCCGTAGGTGTGGTGGTGGCCACAGGTGTGAACACAGAGATCGGTAAAATCCGTGACGAGATGGCCTCCACTGAGCAGGAGAAGACGCCCCTGCAGCAGAAGCTGGATGAGTTCGGTGAGCAGCTCTCCAAAGTTATCTCTCTCATCTGCATTGCCGTGTGGATCATCAACATCGGCCACTTCAACGACCCCGTCCATGGCGGCTCCTGGATCCGTGGAGCCGTTTACTACTTCAAGATTGCCGTTGCTCTGGCCGTGGCCGCCATCCCTGAAGGTCTTCCTGCTGTCATCACCACCTGCCTGGCTCTCGGCACCCGCCGTATGGCCAAGAAAAACGCCATCGTCCGCTCTCTGCCCTCTGTGGAGACGCTGGGTTGCACTTCCGTCATCTGCTCTGACAAAACCGGCACCCTCACCACCAACCAGATGTCTGTCTGCAGGGTGAGCACTTTCTTTAGCAGTTTAGTCTTCCTAGGCTTTGTACAGAAGGTTAAGTGCACTTAATAACTCCATGAAACATGCACAAATTTGCATACAACCCTGTTGTCCGTAAACCCTACGAAGTCTGTTGTCCTGGAAGAAAAAGTATTGAAAAATTTGAATAGCATAAATCAGGCATATAAGTGATTTTTTAGGAGTACACTAGCACATCGATGACCTCAAAACTAATACACATGAACTAAAAGCCACAAAAATCAAATGTACATTTCAATGGGGAATTTAAATAGGTGAGCCTGTGTGTGTGTGTATATATAATCTATCATTTATATGCAATTTTATGTATTTTAATCACAAAAATATGAAACAATACAAGATATTACTACTGTAATAATACTATTTTTATTCAGAGCAGGGTAGATAGAGCAGGTACAAATTGTAATCCATTACTTGACGACAAATTGTAGTTTGTAACGTAATCATTACATTACACATTTTAGGTAATATAATCAGACTAACTCGTTTATCACATTGATTTAAATAGGATAATCTTGTGCCATATTTGTATAAAAATGCAAAGAAGAAAATATATTCCATTTGTTATCAACAACAAGAAGTGCAATAAACTTTATTACATCAAACTGGGTTTGTGAAGGGGGTGTATGAGTTTAATGAAAAATTAAAACAATTTTAAAATGAATAAAATAAAACACTTACTGAAAAAATGAAATTTTATTTATTTACCTGCATGTCATGTGACTATAACCATGTCAGAGAACTGTGAACATGCAAATGTGATACTTCATTATTAAAGGAACACTCGTAGCACTTTTAGCTGTAGCTTAGCATAAATCATTAAATCTGATTAGACCGTTAGCATCTCGCTCAAAAATGACCAAAGAGTTTCTATATTTTTCCTATTTAAAACTTGACTCTTCTGTAGTTACATCATGTACTAAGACCGACGGAAAATGAAAAGTTTTCTAGGCCGATATGGCTAGGAACTATACTCTCATTCCGGTGTAATAATCAAGGAACTTTGCTGCCATACCACAAAATTATATTACACAGCGCCTGAAAATAGTCCCCAGCATGCTCCCTGTGCAAAGCAGGTGGTCACGTTGGTTAAGTTGACGGAAGTTATCCTATTTTCAGGCGCTGTGTAATATAATTTTGTGGTATGGCAGCAAAGTTCCTTGATTATTACACCGGAATGAGAGTATAGTTCCTAGCCATATCGGCCTAGAAAACTTTTCATTTTCCGTCGGTCTTAGTGCACGATGTAACTACAGAAGAGTTTTAAATGGGAAAAATATAGAAACTCTTTGGTCATTTTTTGAGCGAGATGCTAACGGTCTAATCAGATTCAATGATCTATGCTAAGCTAAGCTAAAAGTGCTACCGCCAGACCCAGAGATCGGCTGAATGGATTCGAAAACGGTACAACTCAACTGTTTAACTCTAGGGGAGTTGGAAAATTAGCCTATTTTCAAAACTAGTGGAGTGTTCCTTTAAAATATTTATTTTAAAATCTCAGGGGAACTTCAAAATATAATATATTAGGTGAAAGAGGATCCGATGGAAATAAAAGTTGGTGAATTTGAGCATTTTAAATGTGTTCGAAATGGTCAAATGCTGTGTAGCCACCTAACTAGTGACTGCTCTGTGTGAACGTCCACAAAACGGGAAGACTTTCTGAGTGTAAATAAGCGGTAGTCTATTTTAGAAAGGGAACATTTAAAAGATGAAAAAGAGGAATTGGGGAGAATCAATAAATTATGAATAAGTTATTGCTATTGTGTAAATATGTAATCTTAAGTGTAACTGTAGTCTGATTACAATTATTTTAAAATGCAATTTACTCTAATTACAAGTACTTAATTTTTGGAATCTGATTACGTAAACCAGATTACATGCAATCAGCTACTACCCAGCTCTGTATTTTATTACAATAAATATAATAATATTTCTCCTGCATATTTCCCACAGTACTCAGTCAGGAGATATGTTTATTCTGAGGTTTTTTTGGTCCGTTAAAAATCGGACATTTCGTCATTCTCTGGAAATGAAGTGTTTTGGTGCAGCTTCCTGAACTGCACCGATAAAGATCTCTGTCATCAGACTGGGCTGCTCGCTCTGCAGAAATGCAGGAATGAGCTCAGTGATGGATGGCTGTAGTGTCCGAATTACGACTTTTTTTTTTCTCTCCATTGGATGTTAAAGAGTACTTTGTGTCGCAGACTTTAAGTTCAAACACAAAGGCAGAATAAGCAGGGTTTCATTTCTCTGTCTCTGTGTGCTTTCAGCCCCCCTCCCTGGCCTCCCACTTGCTGTTCTGACAGTTTCTGTATTTACTTAAACATAACACACAGGACAGAATTACAGCACCCTGAGTCATTGCGTACATATAATCTTCTTAGGCTAATACTTGCTTATGCTGCCATCTTCTGTCAGTTAACTTTCCAACAAATTCCTTCAAGACGGGCAGCACGCTGACACATCTAGTTATTGGTATCTTAAAGGAAGAATGCATGGCAGCAAATAAATGCCAAACTGTTTCTTTAACATTGTGTCTGTCTTTCAGATGTTCATCATAGACAAGGCTGAGGGAGATAACTGCTCACTGACTGAATTCACCATATCTGGCTCCACATACGCTCCTGAAGGAGATGTGTGAGTTTTCTGTCTCTGCTCTCATATTTATTTGTAGTACTGCAGTCAAACTGATGCCTATGATTTCACATTTTTGTCAGCTTCTGTTTTAGTAGGTGGTTTATTGATCATTCTGTTTGGTTGCTCAGATTCCTTGATAACAGAGTAGTGAAAAGCTCCCAGTATGACGGGTTGGTGGAGCTGGCGACCATCTGTGCCTTGTGTAATGATTCCTCCCTGGATTATAATGAGGTATGTTTACTAATTGTCCTTTCTTAGCTTGGATGATATAAACAATAATGCCCATTACTTTATATTTAGAAAATTCAAAATGAATATTTATGAAACTTCCATCCATCCGTCCGTCCATCAATCCATCCATCCGTGTCACATGATCCTTCAGAAGTCATTCTAATATTCTGATTTGCTGCTCAAGAAACCTTTCTAATTATTATCAATATTAATAACCGTTGTGCTGCTTTATTTTTATGGAAAACATTTTTCAGGATTCAAAAGAACTGCATTTATTTGAAATATAATTTTGTTGTGACTATTCATACTTTCGCTCAATTTAATGCATCTATGCTACATAAAGTATTTAATTTCTTAAAAAATTATACAAATAAAATATGAAATACGTTTAAAATGTTTTTATTTTGGACACTAGTGTGAGATGTCGTCATCGTGAATGTCTCTGGCCAGTGTCATGTTTTAATGTAGTTTAATATGAAGATATTACTTGATCATTCTTGGGATAATGATCTTAATTTGATTGCATCTCTAACCATGTTTGCTGGCAGTAGAACGGTCACGATGAAAAGCTTTAGCAGAAGTTCAGTTCCATGCATGGAGGATGCACCTAAATGATAAATGCCAACTCTCTTTCAAGAGTATACTTTAAAGGGTTGTGCACTCAACTGTTTGCGAAATGGAGCTTTGCTCGTGTATCCTACCTCTCTCATTCGGGACAAACCCAAATATTCCATAATATTTCCATATTTGCGATGTAAAAGATCTGAATGCTAAACTAATATTTATTATGTAAATTATAGGCTTTGTACTTCAGTTCCAACAGTGACACCGAGGCGGGCGCACTGATGTTTGTTTCACTGTATTTTATTTTTATAAAGTAACAACTGTGCTGTCAAGTTAGCAATGCTGGAACTGATGTGTTTTGTGTGTGTGTGTGTGTGCGCCGGCGCGATCACTTCAACTATTTCCTTATACCAGCAGAATCAACTTTAAACACTTATTGTCTTAATAATGCATCACTGTATAAAGGTCTGCTTTTATTTGTGTACACTCACAATGAAAACAAAACATTGTGTTTTTGTAAAATAAAGAAAACACATAGGATATCGCTTTCTGCCATTTGAGTTTCCTTTCTGTGAACAAATTAAGCCTGTCACAAAAATGAACAAACTCCGCATATATAGGCTACGTTATGTGTCGCACTGTTTTTTTCCCCCTTGTTTATCTGTAAACTAAATCAAATATATTTCAAGAATTTATTCCTTATGTATATATTAGGGGTGGTGGGACGGTTTCACGGTTCGGTTTGTATCACGGTTTTAGAGTCACTGTTTCGGTATGGTTCGGTATGTGCTATGTTTAGGTGTTTAGGTTACTGTCAAATTAAAATAAAGAAAATAATAATAATCTATCTAACTACAAGCAACCGCACAAATAAATACAATAGAGTAAAGATACAAATAAAATAAACAGTGATTTTCAGTTTTTTTT